GCGTGGGCTTCACCCCGGTTAAGCCTCTGGAGTGATGTCCCTCAGCGGAACAGACTTTTAAAAGTCCTGATTTTGTGCTCCGTTGCTCCGCCGCTTGCCGGGAGCCGGCCCCTCCCCCCGCGGTCTATCTTCCCGTCGCTTTGGATTCACTTCTCCGCCAGTCCTGCCTTTCAGAAAGTGGTTGATTTTCTGTTTCTGGAATTGCTGTTTGTCTTCTCTTCGATCTCCCGTTGGATTTGTAGGTGTTTGCAATCTTTAGATAAGCTATCTAGTTGATCTCCCGATACCTGAAGTAGTCTCAGCTGCTACTTCTCCGCCATCTTGACTCCTCCCCCGAGAGCAAGGGTTCTTATCCTCATTTCACAGTTGAGGAAACTGGGGACTGTCCGGATGGAAGTAGGGACAGGGGATTTGTCTGGAAACTGCATTCACACTGTAAGCATGCTGTGTTTTACTTAGCTTGTAAAGGAAACTGACAAAAATGACAAAGGAGAAGGGGGCCAGAGGGCCTGTGAGCTGTCCCTTGTCACCTGACTCTGACTTCTGATGCTCCATTCCGGTAACTCAGCACTTGCAGGGCTGGGAACCTGCAGGAAATTCAGGCAGCAGTGATGGTGGCTGAGGGACCAAGTGAGCATGCAAGGAGGACATAGGAACAACAACAATAATAATAACAACACACCACGGCAAATATGCAGACAGGTGCTAAGTGATGACCAAGGGTCTACGTATATCTGAAAGATGTAAACTCCAAAAAGAGAAAAACTTAAACATTCAGAAGAACAATGATGAAGCCGGGACAGGCTCATTACCACTCCCAAAGCCAGCTTGTCTGGCAACAGTCCTTGCAGAACGCAGCTCCTCCAAGACCAAAGACCAAGACCAAAAAGGCAGGTGTCCCATGTGCACAGCGACTTTGACACAAGGCTGGGCTGAGCCTGCTAGTTTCCTTGTGCCAGCACGGACTGTGTGCATACTCATGTGCTTATCATCACGGCTGGCATTTGTTGACTTCCTGGTGTTTGGCATTGAATTGTGTCACCCCAAATGGATATTTGTAGTCCTAACCCCAGTACTTATAAATGTGACCTTATTTGACAATAGAGTCTGCAGGTGTAATCGAGTTCTGATGAGGTCCGCAGGGTGGGCATTCAATCCCATATGACTGGTGTCCTTATAAGCAGAGGGAACCTGGGGCGCAGACACAGACACACGGGGGGATAGCAAGTGATGACATACACAGAGACACAGCTGCAAGCCAAGGACTGCCGGCCACTCCCAGAAGCTAGGAAGAAGCAAGGAATGATTCTCCTCCACAGATTTCAGAAGGAGCTGGGGCCTGCGGGCTCGTTGAACTCATCTCCACAACAGAGAAAATAAAGTCCTGTTTTAGGCTCCCCACATTGTGGTCCTTGGTTATAGGGCCCTAGCAAACTAATGAATCCCCGGATAGATGCCTCCCACTGCACTGAACACTTCACATACCAAAAAAATGGCATGCATCCTGGGGAAAAGACTGGGGGCTGTGGAGACCTCCTCTACCCTGGGACAAAGGAAGGAAGCAGGTCCTAGGCCCACCATATGGGGCTGGAACCTCTCCTGACCCCAAACCCTGTCTCTTGGGCTGCCTTGGGGAAAAATGACCTGCTGCAAGTCTGGATCCAGATTCCTAGGGCCCCTAAGCACCAGACTATGGTGCCTTCTTAGAAGTAATTTAAAGTAAAAAGAACATAGACTGTTAAGATTTTGGTTTTCAAAGTGTTATCTAGTTTACCATATTCTTAATTAGAGGTCACAGGGGTTTCTGTGTGTGACCCGTGTGTGGCATTATCCAACTTTGGGGCTGAGTGGGATTATCCTGAAAAAGCCATATAAGTTAGGAGCTGCTGACTGCAACTCTGGAAAAGGTGAGGGGGAACCAGGCTCTGGCCTCAGAGGGCCCCGTGGCCCCCACACTACACTCTTCGCATCCAGCCTCTGCCCTCTACCCCAGCCCGCACACATTCTAGATGGACATTTCACCTCAAATCTTCCTCAAGCCTGCAGATGCTTCCTGGGGACCCTGTCTCCCTTTGGCCTTTGATTCAGGATCTCTGACCCTTAGGCCTAGGGCTGCTCCTCCCTCCCCTCAGCAGGCCCAGGAGAGAGCCCAGGGACCTTGGGAAACTCAAGGTGCTAAGTTAGTGTTGGTGAATGTATGGGCCCAAGTCCCCGCTGGTTCTGTAAACACAGCCTCACATGCTGGGGGATTCTTGGATCCCCGGAATGGTGGATTGTGGATGGTGGGTTGTGACAGTGGGGGTGGGATCTGATTTCCTGCCTCTCTGGACACGAGGCTCACTTTTGGGACTCTGGAGATGTTTTTCATTTTCACACACTATGGTATAAACAAAAATAATCTAGATCCCTACATATTACCTCCTTTAATCTTCAGAATAATCCTATGGAAGTCACGATTGTTGTCGTCATTTCCCAAATGAGCAAACTGAGGCATAGAGAAGCTGAATGACACTCCTGAGGTCACTCAGCCAGACTTCAGCATGGTAAGCATCATGAGAGCACTGTCTGGATGCTGGGTCAGTGCACAGTCACCATGATGGGGACCCAACCATGGACCTGTCATTCACAGGACCACGCGGCAGGAAGACTGGCTGTCACTAGGAGACTGTGGTATCATGTGTTACATCCATGGGCTTTGGTGTCTGCATCCATTTTATGACTTCATTCATATCAGAATGTCACAGGTTGTCAACAGATTGCAATGTTTGCTGGACTTCTTACAGCTCACCTTCTCTGGAAGGCCCTGACTTTGCAGTTTTTTTTTCCCTTCCATCATCTTTCCTGTCTACTAGTGCTCCCCTTCCCACCTCTGGGGGAGTCAGCAGCCCAATTCTTTAATGAGCCTCCAGAGGGAGCTGCCCACAGAGAAATTGGAAAATCTCCCCCAGGCCTGAGCTGGAGATGGTTGTCACCCAAACTTAAGCAAAATCTCCTATTTGGAAATGGATGAGGTGATTCACTGTGCCCAGGGAACCCTTGTTCATGCTTGAGCCCCTTTCTCACAATGAGGACAGGAGGGAAAGGGAAGAAACAAAATGAGGATAGTTAAAGAGTACAAAGTTTCATTTCTGGAAGATAAGTAAGTGCTTATCTACACAGCATAAGGCTATAGCTAATACTTTTGGTTCCAGTTCTGGAAGATAAGTAAGTGCTTATCTACACAGCATACTGCGTATAGGTAATACTGTTGTATACTAAATGCATATTAAAGAGGGTATCTCTTATGTTAAATATTCTTAACACACACACATACACACACACACACACGTAGGCACATACACACCCACAAGTGATAATGATAATAAAGAGGGCAGGAAGAAACTTCTGGAGTGATGGAGATGATTATGGTGTAGATTGTGTTGATGGTCTCACAGGTATATACTTATCTCCAAACTCATCGATGTAGGACAAGACATTAGGGTTGGAAGTTAATGGCCAAGAAAGAATTCTTGAGACATTTTTGGTGCAAGAAGGTGGTTTTATTAAAGCATGGGGACAGGAATTGTGAGCAGGAAGAGCTGCACTGGGGTGGTGAGGAGTGGCTCATTATATACTTTCAAGTTGGGAGGGAGTTAGTGTAAGCCTCCCAAGTAGTTTCCATGATCCTGAGGGGTCTAGCTATTGGGAGGAAATGTCATCTATTACAATTTAGTAAAAACTCAGTCATGAGTCCCTTCAGATGGGTATGGGGGGCCATATGCTTGGGGGATGATTGACAACATATATCTAGCGGGGTAGAGATAAAGGAAATTTCCCAAGGAATTTTTGTATGTTAAAGTAGACTTACAGGGCTCTAGGGTTGAGCTAAGGGTGCTTTTTGCTCTTAGCGAAGTGCTGACATTCCTTTTCTAGAGGAAAGTCATTCTGCCTGCCTGGGCTGTAGGTAGTAATGAAATTTACTAATTTTTCTCCTGCCTTTGTTTCCCACATCATCATCAAGTTGTATATATTAAATATGTACAGCTTTTTGTAAGTCAGCAAATATATATCTTAAAAAAACACGTTACTAGTACATGCATATACTATAGTATATATATGTACACATATATGGTGTGTGTGTGTGTGTATGTGTGTGTGGCATATATACTCTCAAAGTACTTTCCCTTCCAAAAAAGGAAAAGAAGAAAACGAAACAATGACTCTGGCAGTTGAAAAAGGCCCATCCTCTGGGTGCGCACGACATCCAGGAAAGCCAGGCCCAGTGCGGGTTACAGCGAGAGCTTTGAGCCAGCTGGACCCAGGTTAGAGTCTGGACCCTGACACTCCATGCAAAGCCCCCGAGCCTTTTTCAGATCTGAGATGGTTCAAGGCCCTTGAGTGTTAGTGTGTGCGTGTGTGTGTCAGGGTGGAGATGGGAGTGGAGGGAATCTTCTCCACACTCCCTCTAAAATATTCCCTGCCTCATCCCCACATCTGCCCCCTCCCAAGAGGTTCCCCAACCTCAGCTTTGTCCTGGAAGCTGGGCCTCCCCCTTTCCTTGGAACCCGAGGAGTAAAGCCAGCACACAGCCTTTCAAACCACTGACCCAGGGGCACCTGGTGCGGGCACCCTTATGCCTGTTTATATGGGATTTGGCCTATACATTCAGGACACATTATCCTTGCCCCAGGGGTTTCCCCAGGTTGCTGGGCTGTCTTCCACGCCCACTGAAGGAAGGAGGAGCTTCCGCAGACCTAAGAGAGATCCTGAATCAAGGGGCAAAGGGAGAGAGGCCTCTCCAGGGAGCTGAGGAAAGCGCAAGGGAAGGCCCGCTAAAACGTGTGCGGGCTGCGGTAGAGGGCTGGCGGTGCACGTGAAGGAGCGCTGCCTGAGCGCCACGGGGACTTCGGTCCACCTCGGGGTCCGACCCAGCCAAGCGAGAGCGGGCCAGGCAGCGGAAGCCCAAGCAGCAGGACGCGGCAGCGGTGGCTGTGAGGGTGTCACCAGAGGTGGTGGCAGCGATGGGGGGGACATCGGCTAAGGCCTCGGGGGCCAGGTGGTGAGTGATGACTTGAAGGCCTCCAGCGCGGGCGAAGCTGAAGGCAGCGGGGCAGATCCTCCGCGCTGGGCGGCCCCGCGGACAGGAGACCCTGGGCGGAGCAGGGGCGGGGAAAGAGCGGACTCAGGTCTCCCTGGCGCCCGGGACCACGTCCCAGCAGGTGAAGGGCTCGGTGCCCCCATGGCTCTGGTGAGGCGGGGCGCTGAGGCGCGGTAACTGGGGGTCTGCGGGCTGGGGAGCCGAGTCCACGTCGCTAAGTTATTCATTTGCCACGTGAAGACACCGAGGCACGGAGAGGGTGACCTCACACCAGAAGTAAGCAGAAGCAGCCCAGCTGGGGTTACAACCCAAGCATCCGGAGCCAGGGCCCGGGACTCCGGTGCGTGTCTGAGCTCCCCAGTTACCCGCCTGTCCGTGCCTTCCTCAGTAACCCGGGGTGCGCGTCACCCTCCTCTGCGTCCCAGGTGCGTGGGTGGGGCGGCAGGTGTTACAAATACTGGACAGAGTCCTAGGATACCCCGTGAGTCAGCACCCCTGGCCTCACCCTGCGGGGAAAGTTCAGAGATGATCAGGAATGGATCTCAGGGATCTCGGAGGGGACAATTCCTATGGTGGAAACTGGTGGCTTCTTTAGCCTTTAAAAGAGGAAGCAGGGGGGACTTCGAGAGGTTGCAGATGACCTACTTATGGGTCCCTGATCAGGTAAGGTCGCCCTGCTGGGGCCTATGGCAGACAGAAGGCAGGACCAGCTCAGCTTTGGCCTCTGTGGCTACGGGAAGATGGTCCAGGGGACTTGCTCTTTTGATTTTTCGAGAGAAATCAGGAATCAGATGGATGTGAAATCTTATTTTTAAATACTGGCAATACTTCAGTCATTAAAAAGTCTGGGGGCTAATCTGACAGTGCTGGTGGGGTCCACATGGGACCTTTGCACCAGGGCTACAGAGGTGGGGACACAAGGCTTGCAAGAGTCAGGCCACACAGAGGAGTTTCATAAATTCAACAGAGAAGTAGGAAGTACTGAGGATGGCAGGTGAGCAAGATCACTCTGACTCCTTAAGAGGCTCTACTTTTCTCTCTTCCGCTCATCCTCCCCTCCTTCCTTCCTTTCTCTCTCTTTTTTTCTTGTTTGTTTATTTGTTTGTTTGTTTGTTTTTTACAGGGTGCCTAGAAGTCTGTGTTAGCTCTGAAGCCTTCCTCTCCCTGCTCTCTCACAATCTGGTCCATCTCAAGAAGCCAGGCTGCAGTCCCAGGGATGGGCTGATCTCATTCTTCCCCAGAACCTTGCTGTCATCAGTAGAGCAGCCTGGTGCTTGCAAGAATCCAGGGCTTCAAGTTGCCATTTGCCTTCCCTGTGGCTGGCAGATGGGCTTTCTGTGACCAGAGCCCATGTTGTAGAAAAAGCTGATACTGAATAGGTGTGAAGTGGGATGGGGAGACCCCATTCCCACACTTTGAGCTCGGTCCCCATCAATGTACTATTCCTCCCTCCTCCCTCCTTCCTGGCTTCCTTGTTGCTCACAGACAAATGCAAGCTTGGAGTGGGAGGGGAAGCAGGACTGGCTTCCTTCCTCAATTTGGCAATCCCTGAGAAGTCAGGAGGGTGGGTTTCCAGCAAGGACTCAGGAGATGGGGTGACAAACCATTCTTCCACAAGAGTCTGTTGATGCTCTAAAGTCTAAAATGATTCTCACACAGAAATTAAACCAGCTCTGTCTTGCATTGAGGCAGCCACAGTGCCACGTCTTGCTGTGGTGTGAAGCTGTTGAACCCAGCCAGAGGTGAGCCACATCCGCTTGTGCCCTCCCACACACCGGGCCACCTGCTGGCCCTCCAGGTCTTCAGAGCCTTGGGCTCCTGCCTTGGGCTGGTCTGCCTGGGCTGAGTGGAGGTTGGACGTAAGTAGTCTTTGCATGATGATGCTTTATTTGCCCCTCTGGGTTTGTATGAAGTCATTCAGAGCAGTTGGGAAGCTAGGTTCTTTGATGGACCAGAGTGTGACATGGCTGTTTCCTGCTTCCTTTCCACACATTTTCTTGCCCTGCAGAAAGTGTTTCCAAGTGCAGGTCAATAATAGTGCAGAAACCCTGTTTTAGGAGTGGTGTCTGGGCAAAGTGCCCTGGCCAGGGAGCCAGCCTTAAAGACTATGCTTGGGGTCTTAATGTGCCTGGAAATAGGAAACTCACTGCAGCCCTCAGAGGGGCCTTTCCAGGTCTGAGCTTCATCTCCATTTTCCCCAGGATAATGGACAGATATTCCATTCCCTGCAAGGGGTTGCCAGTAGTGAGCAAAGGGGCAGGAAGCTCAGAGGTATGCTGGCAGGTCCGGGACACATGGAGCCAGAGTGGGGGCAGACACTCCTGACTTCTCCTCCAGTCCCTTGAGCACCCCTGCAGGGCTTGCCCCTTCAAGGGCTCTACACCCCATGTGGTCAAACAGACACTTTTGGGGGGTGCTTGTTTGCACTTTCTGAACTCAAGGACTAAGTAGCTGATGTCTGATGTCGGGTCATGCTCTCTTAGGGTCTTGCTGTCCGAAGTGGGGTGCACTTATGGAGAATCACTGATTTAGAACATGGCAGGATCCAGAGCCCAGGACACTAACTTATCTCTTCAGGAATGGCAGAGAGGTTCTGAACCCCGACTTTGGTGATCCACTAGACCTACAGACTTGTTCTAGGGGCTCAAAATTCTTCCCCAGGATTGAGAGGATGATTTCTAGAGGAGTGTCTGGTTCTGGATTTTCCTTGGGTCAAAAGGAGATGTAACCAAGAGTTCTTGAGCAAAGGGTTTGCCCCAAACTGTGTCAAGATCCTTTAGGGACTGCTTGCATGTAAAGGGGAGTGAAGGAAAGAAAGTGTCCTTCCAGCCTTGGGTCCAGTTGAAGCCAAGAGGGGAAGCACCAGCTCATGGCCACTTTGATTTGGGTTCCGGGTCCTGTCAGGTATCCCGTCAGTGTTGTGGTTCTGCATGGCCACTGACCCTGGGGCAGAGCCCACCCTGCCTTTGCCCTCTGTGCCTGCCAGTTTCCCACCAGTGTGGATAACAGTTTCCTGACCACAGAGAATTGTTCAATGGTCATTGTTCCAAAAGTCCATCTGTCTGTCTATCCAAACGCATGCAAACCTCTGGAATTCTTTGGTTTATTTTATTCTCTGGTTGTTCCATCTTACTGGTCATTCTTAGGGCCATCCTGTCCCTACCTTTATTATCCCCCATGCAGAACTGGATGGGCATTAGGAACGGTTGCTTACAGAAAAGCCAGTGGTGTGTATCAGTAACAGAACATTCATTTAGAGCCATCCGGTCTCAGGGCCGTGTGTTCCAGACTCACCACAGGTACTTTGCATCCATTCCATTCAGACCTTTCCAGAATCCAGCTTGTAGGTGGCTTATCTCCCTTTACAGGTGAGGAATCTGCTCAGGGTCATGGGGCAGACAGGTGTGGGCATAGGCCAGGGTGGTCACAGAGCCCAGTACTTTCCCCTTCTCAGGCTTGGCATGAGCTCCGTTGCCCTGTCACATGACAGAGGACTCGAGGCTGGGACAATCTGACCTCTGCCAGGCTCTGTGCACTGGGGGTGCCTGAGCCAGTAGGAAGGCCACAGATGCAAGACAGGGCATGCTTGCCTCACTTGTGATGAACAGATGCACCTTCTGGCTGGGCCTGTTCCATAATCTGTCATGATTGAGAAGTTACGGAGAGGGCAAGGAAGACCTCTCATGCATTCTGTGGGTTCTGTGTGCTTATTAACTAGCGGCTCCATGACTTCCTCTGTGACAAGGAACCCATCACGTTGCTGGGTGCTGTCAGTTCCGCATACAGCAGAGCTCCTGTTCTCTGCATGAGGCTGTCCTCCAAACTCTAGCAAGAGTGACATTTGGGTGCAAATACTCTGACACTCATTAGAATTCTCCCTTTGAAAGTCTTCCTTTGAGGTTCGCCAAGAAACCTCTCAAGGTGGAAGACGTCATGAAGCTGCTGTGCTGCATCGCTGAGGAGAGGGAAAAAGGGAGCTTGAAGCCAACTGTGGGTAGAATGATTGGTGGTCTTGTCGGAGGCCCACCTGGAGCTGCTGTTGGTAAGCCTTGCAGGGCAGCCAGACTTTGAAAACTCACAAAAGTCTCTGTCCCATGGGACATGTTTGCTGGGTTGTGGTTGCTTCCGTGACATGATTTTGTGTCCCTAATTCACCCTATTGAAAACACATAGAGGGGCACCTGGGTGGCTCAGTCAATAAGCATCTGCCTTTGGCTCAGGTCATGATCACAGGGTCCTGGGATCGAGCCCCACATTGGGCTCCCTGCTCTGCTGGGGTCCTGCTTCTTCCTCTCCAACTCCCTCTGCTGTGTTCCTTCTCTAGCTGTTTCCTTTTCTGTCAAATAAATAAATAAAAATAATTTAAAACAGAAAACACATAGAAATGGCTAGCAGACACATGAAAAAAATGTTTAGTATCATTAGCCATCAAGGAAATTCAAATCAAAACCACACTGAGAAGCCACCCTACACCAGTTAGACTGGCAACAATTAACAGGGCAGAAAACAAGTGTTGGAGAGGATGTTGGGAAAGGGGAACACTCTTGCAATGTTGTTGGGAATGCAAGTTGTTACAGCCACTTTGAAAAACAGTGTGGAGTTTCCTCAAAAAATTAAAAATAGAGCTACCCTATGACCCTGCAGTTGCACTGCTGGGTATTTACCCCAAAGATACAGATATAGTGAAATGAAAGGCCATCTGTACCCCAATGTTCATAGCAGCAGTGTCCACAAAAGCCAGACTGTGGAAAGAGCTGAGATGCCCTTCAACAGTCGAATGGATAAAGAAGACGTGGTCCATATATATAAAAGAATATTACACAGCCATTAGAAAGGATGAACACCCAACTTTTGTGTCAATATGAATGGGACTAGAGGAGATTATGCTGAGTGAAATAAGTCAAGCAGAAAAAGTCAATTAATATATGGTTTCACTTACTTGTGGAGTTGAGTAAGTTCTATTTGATAGTTATCATCATACCACTCTGGAGGACTGGCATGAAAAACAGTTGCTTCCAGAGTTATGGACTCCTTTTCTGTCCACAGGGTCCTTTAACCATAGGATTTCACTGAAAATTTCCAATGTTCAGGGGCAAAGTGCATATTATGAAGAAAACTCAGCCTCACCACTGAGATGATTCTCTTTGTAAATGCCCTGGCTTCTCAGCTCTGTCCTTTAAGATGAGAGAGTTTTGTGGGAAGCAGGAAACCTGCGGGCCCTGGAGAAGATTTCAGTTCTCAGAGCTGTGCGGTGGGAGATGCTTTGTGCTGCGTCTGTGAGTGCACAGCTTAGGGGAGGGCATGTTGGGTGTCAGTTATCTGAGCCAAATGGAACAAGGACCCCAGAAACCCTTGCCCCCTCACCAAGGGGTGGAGTAGGCATGAAGCCGAGCCCATTCTGGCCTGTGAGTGAATGTGCTCACTCATCCTGGCAATGGACATGCTCCCAGCAAGAGCATACATTGAACCAACTAATTGAACCTTCCTTGTTTTCTAGGGGAGGCTGTTGGGGGCCTCTTAGATACATGGATGATAAGCGGACAGTTCAAGCCAATACCTCAGACCATAATGGAGCTGCCACCTGATAAGAAGCAAAAACTCTATAAAGAAGCCAGGGCCATCCTCAAGCACCTGAAGTGGAGGGACACTGAACACCTGACCACATTGGTCATGGGCAGCGAGGCCCTGAAGATGCAGCTGCTGGCCATGCTGGAAAAGTGCCTCAAAGGCTGAAGTCCAGTACATTGATTTCAAAGCTATTTCTAGAATGCAGGGGTCTCATTTAGAAGATTCTCCACAGGGTGGTGGGCCATTTAGATGGTTTTCCTAACTCATAGAGGTGATTGGGAGTTGGGGGAAGCCTCACCCATTCATTGCTCATGGCTTGGGTCCAACTCTCCCAGACCCAGGGAACACGGGGTCCTAGTCAGTGGTCCTGCCCTGGTGCCCACTGAAGTCCCTCCCCTGGCCGGCCTGCATTCATTCCTGGGAAAAACCCTGACCCAACTCCTGAGCAATTTTGGGTCAGATAGAGCAGATATTGCTGAGTGAAGTCAGTGTGGACTAGTTCGGTCCTGGGGTGACTGTAATGGGCAAAGGGCCTGAGAGGACAGGCTGGACCTCAAGTCCTGTCTCCCCAAGAGGTGAAAACACTTTCCTGGCTTTCCCCTCAGGCTCTCCTCTTGGCTCCTATGGTTTTAGTATTCTTACTTTTTGTCTTACACTGTCTGTAAAGAACTTAAAAAAAGAGAAATGGACTAAGAGTCATCTGTTTGTATCATTCCAACAGCTTTGCCATTCCAAACAATGTCCGTCATGGAATACTGCTCCTCCCTGGGCCCCAGGACCCCTGCTTCGTCCCTGCCTCGATGCACCGCTGTTCAGAATCTACTCACTGGAATCTTCTTTAAGGACATATTCTATATCACTTAGGGCTATTTGCTTGCCCTGCATGTGGCTACTATGGTGGCATGAATGCTTAATTCTGTCTTTTTAATTAAGCCCCATATTTTGTTCTTCATTGCATGTGACACATTTTGTTTTTGTGTGTTTATTTGTTTGGAGCCCTCCTTCCTTCAGAAGGTAGCTACACAAAGGCACGTGGGAGGCACTCAGTCTCAAACATTTGAGTGAAAGGTTGCTGAGTGAGGCCAGGAGGGGTGAGCGGGCTGTGGTCTGAGGTGGGGTGTGCAGAGAGAGGGTTCAGAGGCTAGAGAGAGAGTGGTCCATCCTGGAAGTGACTGACGGTCGTCAGGTGTGTCTGGGGCTGAGTGGAGGTGGGAAAGGAAAGCACCGAGGCTGTGGAAGACTCGGGTAGGAGCGCAAGGAGCACACTTTGTGGCATGCTTCATGAGGAGTTGGACCCTATCCTGGGGACTGAAGGGCTGTAAAATCTCTGTGCCCAGCTCCGCCCTGCCCACGACCTCCTGGGTAGAGCCTGCCCTCCACAGGAGGTGCACATAATTCTGGAGACTTGGCCACGGTCTCAGGCAGCACCCGCCTCCTCCCTCCCTCTCTAATTGCTCTGTTTTCCTTCCACTTCACAAGTGGGTTGGCTGTAACACCGACGTCTGTTTTATACACATATAGATAGTCAGCAAACACAAAATGTATGGTAAGCTATGTTCTGTCTTTATGTTATTAACACACAAAAGCAAGAAAGCTCCAAGTTAGAGCATCTGCAATTCAACCCAATGTGCAGCAAGCCATATGGAGAAAACATGGGACGGAAGGAAACAGAAGAAGTGCATCATCTCTGCCTTCGTCTGGAGAGCTGCCTCTGCAAGCGAGGGCCACGGGCTCCTCTGGCCTGCGTGTCCCAGCCAAGGCTGTCTGGCTTCCATCCATCCATCCATCTATCCATTCATTCATTCATTCATTCATTCATCAAATATTCTTTGAATTCCTGTCATGGGCCAGGAAATGTTCCCTCACCAGGACAGAGGAACCAAGACAGGCAGAGGTCTGTCCTCAGGGAGGGAGAAGGGGTCAGGACATAAGCAAAACACATGAGAAAGACACCATGATCGCCTCCAGTTACAAGAACTCTTGAAAAGTAACAGGGAGATGTGATAGGAAGTGGAGAAGAGGCCTGCCACTAAGGATAAGGTGGATTTAGGAAGGCCTTTCTCAGGAGGAGGCAATAGAGCCAAGCTCTGAAGCATGATGAAAATCCAGCAAGAATTGCTGTGAAGAAAGTAGCCCAGACAGAGGGAACAGTATGTGCAAAGGCCCTGAGGTGGGAATGAACTAGTGCTTTAGTGGAATTGCAAGAAGCCTGGAGTAGAGGGACAGTGGGACAAGACAACAAGATAGCTGGGAGACAGAGACATCAGGGTCTTACAGACTTGTAGGGAGTTTGAGTTTTACTCTGGTGCTATTAGAAGACCCTGAAGCGTTTGAAGTAGAAGAGTGACTACTCTGATTTACATGCTTTTTAAAAGATTATTTATTTATTTATTTGACAGGCAGAGACCACAAGTAAGCAGAGAAGCAGGCAGAGAGAGAGAGTGGGGAAAGCAGGTTCCCTGCTTAGCAGAGAGCCTGATGCAGGACCCTGAGATCCTGACCTGAGCTGAAGGCAGAGGCTTAACTCACTGAGGCACACAGGTGCCCCTCTAATTTACAGTTATAGATCGCTCTGCTGCTGAGGGAGGTGTGGATGGGGAAGCAGGCATATCCTGGTGTCTTAGAGGAAAGTTGCCCAAGCCAGGCAAGATGGCAGCTTGGCCAAAGTTGGGGCAGGATGGTGGTGGTCACAGGGGCCAGATGTGTTTGCAAATAGGTGGGGGAGGGCTGCCCATTGCCTGCTGAGAATGCAGACCCATGACCTTGGGTCCACGGTGGCTGACAAGGACCAGGGCAGTGTAGCTGGGCAGAGATGTGAAAATACAGCTTCCCTGCTCTCAGCAGGTGAGGAGCACCATCTATGTCATTGCCCATGGAAGGCCTGGTTTTCCTTTCCTCTCCCCTCACCTCCATGGTCATAAGCATAGTGACTCATCACTGGCATTCTCCTGCCAGGTGGAAGAGTAGGGAGAGGAAGTCACTACCTAGGATCACACAGGACAAGGGGCACCTCAGGAGAACCCTTTTCCATAGACTGCATGACGCCTTGAGGTGTTAGCCAGCCCTTTCCAACGTCCACCTGACTATCTTTCACCGCAGCTGGCAGAGGAAGGGTGGCACTGCCCATACCAGCAAGGACACACATTCCCATGTAGCCCACAGTGGCATGGCTTTTCATCTTCGTTGTGAGAGCGGACCGTTGCCTTCTCCTAGAATAGTGGGAAACTGCACATAGCAGTGTGCGGACCCCAGAAGCAGAGTGCAGCATGAGGGAGGTGAGGAGGGACTGCCGAGAAGCCATGACCTAAGAACAGGGGAGTGTAGAAGTGGGAGTGGCCAGAGGGCCCTGGAGCGAACATGGCCCTAGGGCTGTCCTGCTTTGGCCAAAGTGACCAGGCTTTTCTATCTCCGCCTCCATCAGCTGCTGTGTGGCAGCATGTGGCCCTGGCAAGGCTGAGGAAGTCCTGGAAGGCTGGCAGCTGGAGGCTGAATGCTGGTGACACCCCCACAGCTGGGGCACTAGCACCTCCTACAGGGGCCTTGAGAGGTTTCCATGTCCACCACATTTCATCCCGCTAACTCAGCCATGACCCATTTATAAACCAGCAGTTGGGGTTGTGCTAATGTGACATCTTCCTTTCCCTAAAGCAGGAATAGCCAAATGTCCATGACCATGAGCTGACAGCTCTGAGATTCAGTAGGGTCTTTCTAGGCCACCAGCCAAAGGGGCAAAGATAGATGGTCTTTCTCCTCCATCCAGATACATCAGAATTAGGTGATATAATGTGATATCTAATCCTTATCAATTTTCCCATTATCCCAGATTCCTGTTTTCAGTCAGGATCCAATGAAAGTCCCTGCCTTGATTTTGCTTCTTGGGTCTACTTTTTGGTCTCCTTCTGTCTAGAACACCCAATTCCTCTCATCCCCACCCCCTTTCTTCTCATGATTTGGTCTTTGACAAGTCCAGGCCAGTTGTCTTGTAGGACATTGTCCATTCTAGATTTGTCTGATGATTGGAATTCTTTAACTTCTTCTTCTTTTAGCTTTATTTAGCTATAGTTTTCCCATGTAAAGTGAACAATTCCATAACTTTTAACACATTCACAGATAATGGGTGGCCATCGCCATATTTGGTTCTATGACATTGTCATCTCCTCAAAACCCATTTGCTGTTATCCTCCTAAGCCCCTCTCCCCAGCCCTGAGCAACCACTAACCTACTTTCTCTCTCTTTGGGTTTTCCTAATCTGGCTTTTCATAGAATGGAATCGTGTGGTATTGTGTCTTTGGTAATTAGCTTCTTTCTCATAGCATAATGTTTTCAATTTGTTCACGTGGTCACATTTCTTTTTATGACTAAAGAGTACTCCTCTATGTGGGGATGGCACATTTGGTTTATCCACTTGTGCACTGAGGGGCATTTGGGCTGTTTCCACCTCTCAGTACGAATATGCTACTTTCCTTACTTGTGTACAAGTCTTTGTTGGGATGTATGCTTTCATCTCTTGGGTAGATGTTGGGTAAATTGCTGGGTTAATTTATGTTTAATGTTAGAAGAACTGCCAGACTGCTTCACAAAGCTGCTGAAATATTTTCTATTCCTGACAGAAGTGTATGAGGCTGACTTCTCCACAGTCTGACCAGCCTGACTAGTGGGCGTCACTCTCTGACTTTTTGATGCTGTTCTCCTCAGTGTTGCATGGTGGAGGCTTCTCTCTAAGGTAGGGGGTCTTCTACTCCCACAGCCTCACCCCAGCCGACTGGGCCTCCTAGACCCAGATCATGAAGGATACAAATGACACAGAACCTGATGGCATCATTTTCTTATTTTTGTAGTTGGTCAGATCCTGCAATTTCCTACCAAGTTTCACTCAGTGCCCTAATAAGATCCTCAGGAAGCAGCCAGGGTAGAGCTGTAAGGTGAAGACACTTAGGCCTCTGAGAGGTGAAGGTTGCTCAAGTGAGCTGGTGCTGGAGATGGGGCCAGGGTTCCTGGGAGCTGCAGTGTGTAGTACTGGGGAAAGTAGCCTAAAGGAGGAGTTTCCTGAGAGCAGGTGACTCATTGAAACAAGCCTCCATTCTAATCTGCATGCTAGGCTCCCTGTCCAGGATGCTTCTGTTCCCCATTACTGTTTACCAAAGAGGTGCTGATGCTGTGGGAAACTCAGCATCTCTGGATTCAGACAGGCCAGGCTGTAACAGCCCATGTTCCCAGTCTGGAAGGCTGATTTGAGGAGGCCGGGCCCAGCATGGCACTTGCAGTCTCTGCCAACTCATCTAGATGGCAGTCGGTCCCTCCTCTGGGGATAGTGCCCCAGTCAGGGCTAAGAAGTCTCCTTGGGGTGGCTGCTTCTGTGGAGTTGCAGGGTTTGGGCGTTTGCTCTCTGTGACCAGGTGAGGCCAGGGCAG